ATATACCATATAAAATTAAATAATTGAAAGATCGGGCTACGGAAAATCACACAAATTTTCGGAAAAATTTTGACCACTTCGCACACAATCGTCAATTAAAAAAAACTACTATTTTAGTATTTTAAATATTTTAATAAACGCAAAAATAGCATAGTATTTACAAGGTGAAGTTATAAAAATTTGTAAGAACTAATAATGCACTGACGCACACAAAAATCAAACGAATACTAAATTTCATTTATCAAAAACATTCGATAGTGGTGGCTCGTGGCGCAACGATAACCATTTAGTCGCACGGCGAGGTTGTCACTTATGCTTTAGTATACAAATGAATGAATGATTTTATTCGAATAAAACCATTCGATAGTTGAAATCATTCATTCAGTAACTATTCGATAGTCTAATTCATTCGATAGTTCCCATCGCTAGTTTTTATGATATATGGTAACATAATTTCGATTCTCGATATGTCATTCTATTCAGAGTGTCATTTTCTATCGAATAAAGTAGAAATATACCGAGGGTGCCGTTTAAAAATTAAAAGTTATAGTCATTTCCGGTGAAACAGAAAGTGACCAAAAACAATTGAATGCGTCAATCAATCCTAATTTATGTCATATACTAACATACTAAATCTTGTTTTTTTATTTGAAAATATAAAAAAATTATGGGGGATGAGCCACTTTTGGGACGCACCCGGTATAATAAAACAGTACCGAGTTAAATAAATGTAGTTTTCATTTTATCCACTTCCTATCACCTTCCTTGCTTTAATGGATCATATTTATGTTTTCTCTACTTTACATAATAAGACATCACTTAACTCTCCCTGTCGTCGATTCTATTATATCTGTGGAATAGATCCTGTTTTGATTAATATTAGGGGTTGTAAATGTTTGACTAAAATTAATAATTTATTATTAATTTCAAAAATTACGTAATTTCGATTATAAAATTTCTTCTATAACGTGTATTTTATTATTTTTATCCTTTTTGGACTCTAAGACGTTTTTTTCTAAACTTTTATTTAAAAAACCTGTCCTAAATCTTAATAAAATATAAAAAAGTTTAAATACGATATATTTTTAATTTAATTATAGCTTCATTAAAATAAAAAAAAATTACCCGGTTATGATACGGAGGGTTCAGGTGTACTTGAGAAACAAAAGACAGTGTTGTGTTTCTCGGCAGAGTCGTCAGGGAACGACCGTTACGACAGAGACAACCTATCTATCGCTCGTGTCGCACTCGTTATAACCTAAAACAATAACACAACAATAACAAGACATTGTCTGACCGCATGTTCCAGCTCTTTATGAATGAGATGCTCAGTCTATATTTTATTTTAAGTCTATGGGACCTACAGTTTATCGCCAAATCCTCGAATGACGCTATTTGAGAGGCTGTACAAGGCAAATACAGGTTGTTAATTTGTTTATTACTCGCGGCAAGAGCTTGTAACGTTTTTAGTTCGTTACATGTCTTTTTTATATATAATATATGATGTCTGGGCCTATTATCACCGAATTCCGTATCGTTCAGGCCTGATAATTTATTTGGCACACTTGGTGTAATTTTTACGTTCCCTAGTCGCCAACCCTGCTATCGTTTCACTGTTCTGTGGAGGCGCGTGCTGTCAAGATCTGCCGTTCGCAGTGGTAATGTTTTATAAAAAAAACGCTACAAGCTTTATGGTTGAAATATGGCAACCTCGGCCCGCTCGTCGATAGACGATGCGACGGGACGAGCCGACAGAAAACCCTATAAGGCATGCGTTCTTAATAGGCAGTGTTGCCATTCTGTTCCCTTATAAGTAACTGTCCAGTTAACAACCAGTATAATCAAGGTGGTTTGCCACTGCCTTCCTTGAGGTGGCGCCTCGCTGGTCGGTCTATTTAGATAAATCAATATTTTTATTTAAATAAATAAAGCGACCGTACTGGCTGATGATCGAACCCAGTACCATCTCTCGCACCGTAGATCGACACACTAACTACTTGCGCTACGGCCGGCCGCCACTACGGCCACTACCACGGCCAGTTTCTGGGATCGAAATATACCACCCCTAAAATATTTGGACTTATTTAAGACTCACGTTGTATAACATATGTATGGTATAAGTCTTTCATTAAAAAAAAACGAAGAAATAGTATTTTATATTTTAGAGAGTTTGGCGTGACATTTTGAATACTCTGTATGATCTAATGCTACAATATTTATAGCAAAGTAAGTACAGATCAGTAAAAAATACCCAAGTAGTATAGTTTTCATTTCAGGACATTTCTTGTATTTTTAATAATTTCTTTAAAAAAATGCTGAAAATATAATAAATTTTTTATTTATTTTTAAAGTCTATAAAACTATCAAAACATATTTAATAATATCTTAGGATTATGTAGAATGATCAAAAGGTAAGACAAAAAGGCAATAATGTACAGGGTGATCCAATTAAAAAAAATGATCTCGATCCCCTCACACTTTTTTGAGCCACTCTGAAGAAGTTAAAATTGCAGGACCCAGTATGTGTATATGATAATATAGTCTATTATTCATATACAATGACTAAACACCTAGTTGTAAATTATAGTTAAGTGTTGGAACCTTTGGTCTTACAAAAGCAAAGTAATTCCCTACAATACATCAAAACACGTCATCACACCATCAACACACTATGTTTGCATCATCAGCAGATTATTAAAACTAAGTCAGTTTTAATCATCTTCTAATTATGCTAACATGGTTAGCGGAACGCGCCTCCAGTCACTCCAGTGTAAAAGTAAAGTGTTTTGGTGTATTGTGATGACTTAGTGTTTTAGTTTACCTTTTTGTGACTATAGTACAATTCTTTTAAAAGTTCCTCAATATGGCCGACCTAGTTACGAAAACTGGTAATTTTTTTTAATGAAAAATAAGTTGGCGTTAGCGTATTCAGAATTTATTTACTCTATGGTTAATAACAACATTTTTCAGGATTGTCAAGTTGACGTTAAAGTTAGGTTATTAGGTGGTTGTCTAAAATTAAAACATAGATTATTGAAATTATTTAAATAAGAATAAAGGTATTTTACCGCAAATCGGAAGAGATTTTACTTAAAGGTATCTTATAAACCTTCTCAGTGAGAATATTAACTCCGCTGTTCTTTATATCTCAGTTAAACGGACGTAAGAACTAAAGGAAGTGAATTTTTGTTTTCATGTTTTGACGATATTCGAGAGTTCCTAGAATTATCAATATTATTGAATAATTATAGTTGTTTAATAAGTGAAATTAATAGAAGACTTGGAGATAGGATGATGGGTTTCATGTTATAGTTGATAGATCACCCCATTTCTCTTAATTTATATTTTTATTTCAGTACAGTTAATCATAAATTGAATTGATATTTGTGCAAAAACAGCTATATATTTTTAAAAATCTTTTTTAGATAGTTCTTTTAAACTGTATCATCTACAAAGTCTTTAGCAAAAAGTTATAAGGTAATAAATTTTTTAGATATAATTTTCCAAAATTTATATATAAAGATTAGAACACAATCCTCTGAGGAAAAAAAATATTCAAAACTCATTAAATACACTTTATTAAAAATAACAACATACAAAAATAGTCATCTATGCAAACTGTAATTATCAGAACATTATCCACATTATACCTTTATTAAATTTGTATTCACACTTCTGTCAGGAATGATAGTTAATATTTGTTTAAATATTAACTTATTTTAAATTGCCAGAAACACATCAGAATATGTCACAACCACAACTATAGGTTTGGAATCAGTACTAAATTTTATACCTAGTAAGTGATGCGTCAACTAACAAGTATAGGATAAACAAGAATTATTAATATAGAGTGTACTATACGATTTCCTGCTATTTATGAAGTAACTTTCCTTTCAAATGTGAGGAATGCCGGTAAAATAAAACATAATTTTAGATTTGGATTGGTGTTTGATATTCTAACTACATCTCTTACAAACCTTAATTGCTTTTAGTGAGTAACTGTACTTTCTATTATTCTTTGTGTATCCTGTAAAGTAAAAAAAAATATATTTCAAAAAATACAAAAAAAATACAAAGATATCAAACAGATTCATAAAAACTACTTACACTTATTGTACATATTATATATTTCAAGTGTTATTTTTGATCTTTGGTCCTATTACCAACGTTACCTTCTTGAGGTCTTCTCTACTAACTCAACTTTTAAACCTCTTTTATATTTTAAAACTGATTTACAACAATCTTTAATGCCCGCGCTGTTTCCTGAAATATAAGTTTTAATCTATTTATTATCATTTATATATTACAAAGCCGAAAATTACTGATTCGAAGAAACTTTTCAAAATAATTAGAGACCTTTTTACAAACATGTGGACTAATTTATTTTCACGAATTTGTGGACGAGTCAATGGTTTCTAATACATTTTTAAGCGTTTTATACATTTTGAATATCTTCCAGGCTATTCCTCAGTTCTTGATCAGTGAAAAGATTATTGATAACTATATAATTAGTACTGCAGATTAAATAAAAGAACAAAATCAAGTAGAATCTGTGAATAGAAACTAGAAAAAAAAAATAATGAAAATATTTAGAAAAAGGGGACGTAAACGTCACTGTCAGTCAAGTGTCAGAGTTCAATTAGATTTATCACAGATTACCAATTTGAACGATTTGAACTACAGTCGATTCCAGTCTAGATATTTTCGTTTTTTAAGCCTCCCATACTGAAGTCCGCCATTTTGGGAAGTTTTAAATGATTACAAGTATATTTGTAATTTATTTATTATAATATAGCACCATTAATAGTATAGATTAATTTCAATGAAATGGAATCACACAATAATAAATAAAACTTTATAAAAAAACTTCTCTATAAACTCAAATATCTAAATACAATATTAATAGAATTTTCATTGTATTTAAAGCCACACGACCAGATTAATTATTATGGGATTATTACCCATAATAATTATTAATTTCCCGTTTCATTATTTTCCAGATACGGCCGCTGGGTGACCAGAAGAGTGGCCCTGGCCACAATCGCCACCATATGGCTTCTGGCCGCTCTCATTTCCTTCGTGCCCATTATGTTGGGCTTACATCGACCACCCCAGCCCTTTGTCATCGAATCGGGCGGACAGAACTACCCCACCTGCGCCCTCGATCTCACCCCCACCTACGCGGTCGTGTCCAGTTGCATCTCGTTCTACGTGCCCTGCATCGTCATGTTAGGTGAGTAAACGGTTAAATATTAGGATAATTTCGATTATACAGGGTGGTCCGAACTATATTCCGGAAACTTCAGCAGTATATTCTGCAGATAAAAATAAGTAAAAAAGTTCATATAAATGTATGTCCTAAAATGCTTAGTTTCGGAGATACAGGGTGTAGAAGTTTCATTTTTATTTCGATTTTTTTCCAAATAATTTCTGAAGTAACGTCAATATTTAGATGAAAATTGGTGTCTGGGAGTTTTTTGAGACATGAGAAATTTGATTTTGATGTCAATATGACACCTGTTTGTAGGAGGCGCCACCTACATGTGTTTTAACTCTTTTGAAGAGTAATAACTTTTTGTCCGTACCTGTAGAAAACTACTGAGTGAAAAAATGTACATTTCCGTGATTTTCTACGTAAAAAATGTTTCTTGGCAAAAATCGCTACAAGCAGCCGTTCTCAAGATATTTACAATGGAAATAGTCAATACATGTCATTATTGACTAAAAATAAGCATGTTGAGTAAACAGTTATTTGACTAAAATGAGAAATTTGGAAACTTTTTATTTTTTTTAAACTATCTAATCATAAATTTTTCTTCGAAAAAATGATGATAAACAGTTTCTGTTGAACTTTTAGCTCAAAAACATTTCAAATTTATGATTTTAGTCTAATAACTATTTAGTCAACATGTTTAATTTATGTCAATGATGACAGATATTGATAATTTCGATTCTAAATATCTCGAGAACCGCGATTTTTACCGAGACCTTTTTTAAGTAAAAAACATCGTAAATGGATATTTTTTAAATAACTAGTTTTATACAGGTACGGATGAAAACTTGTTACTCTTCAAACCAGTTAAAGAATATGTAGGTGGCGCTCTCTACAAGTAGGAGCCATATTGACATCGAAATCAAATTTCTCATGTCAAAAAATTCCCAGACACCAAATTTCATCCAAATATTGACGTTACTTCAGAAATTATTTGGAAAAAAATCGAAATAAAAATGAAAATTCTACACCCTGTATCTCCGAAACTAAGCATTTCTAAGAACTTTTTTACTTAGTTTTATCTGGAGAATACGTTGCCGAAGTTTCCGGAATACAGTTCGAACCACCCTGTATGTCGCATAACATAGTTTCAATCAATTATTTTTACGTCAAATCTAAAAAAGCTATGTATATTCATTACATATGTTCTATGTGGCTTAACGCCCACTATATGGCGGTACCGTCTAGATCCCTCCATTAAATCAGATTGAGGGGTTCTTTAAAGCTTTTCTCATGCATGTATAACCATAGTATAAGGAAATTAGTAGCTTTACTCCTTATCAAATCCTTTGTTCTTTTTCTGCCACTTTATATGACCTTGTTCTCGCATCCCGTGACCACCGACGTAACTGTATAGTCGTCGTCTATAACTAGGCAAAGTATAGTCGTGGCACTCGTCATAGTTTCACAGAGCTGTATTTAGGAAAATATGAGTTCACAATAAAATAAAATAAAAAAAAATGATCATCGAGTAAAAATTTGCTTAAAAACAGAATATTTTCACATTTCGTGTAGGTAAGTAACAATTTTTCTGTATCTGAAAATCTTCTGATGGGAAGAAATGCGGAGAAAATATATGACATATTTTTATATTATTATCTATTTCAAAGATTTTCTACAACTTTTTTTTAATTTAAAACAAGTTTAATTTTAATATTAATGTGTTTGTTTTGTAGTAATATATTGGTTAGGTGATTTTCATTGGATAACTAATACATTGAACAGTACCTTTTACTAAATAATAAAATAACATATTTAAACTTCAACAATTGCTAATAATTATTAAAGAAATTTCGAAAGAGAAAAGAAGCAAGAACAATGAGAAATACCATCACTACTTTCTCACTTAATAAAAGAACCCTTGTTACCATATTATCAAGAAATTATGTTTTTTGACTAAAAACTAAAAAAAATTTCAATTTTTTTTTCAAAAAAAAAATTGCGTAAAAAAATCCTCATATTTCTGAAGCCAAAATATACTAACCCTTAAAATATTTGCACTTATTTAGGGCTCACCCTATATAGGGCGATTCACGGTTCTGGTACGTTATAGCGTTTCCGGAACCGGAGCATATTTTCGGAACCGGTAATTTCGGTACCATGCCTCTAAGGAACCGGGATTTCCAGTTTTATTTCGGTACTTCCAGTACTAGGAAATTTTTGTCAATGATGGTGCAGTTCGTTAAACAGCATGCAAGGAATGGTTGTCAAATGTAAAATCGATAAAAAATTGAGGTTTAAATGAAAATATTATCAAATTATTAAGTAGTAATCAGTCATGAGAAAATTAACCTGATCACAAATGGGACTCTAAAAAAAATTCAAAGCACAATTTTTTGAATTATTAGTACAATCAATAGCAACACACAGTAACCCACAATAAAATAAATGCATGATTTGAAGATTCAATAAATAAGAATATGAAATAAACTCTTCATATTTCAAGCTGTTGTGGTAGATATAGTGTCCGCATCAATTATCAATTAATTGCTCTTAGTACTTCGGTATAATTAAGGAAATTAGGTAAATATTAATTGCTCGTTAGAATACAGATTTGCGCAAAGTTTACTTTCGCAATTGATAATGCCTCTACGTAGGAGGATTGTTTTAGAAGTTTAATGCAAAGTTAGTTAGCGCCCTTATAGTTTGTAAAGCAATATTATATTATCCAGTGATATATTCAAAATAGATAAAAGTTTTAACTTATAATTGCTGTCCATATTATCTAAACATAGCACTTACATACATAGATATTTATTTGATTACTTTTTATTTATTACCTATATTTTGTAATTACTTTTAGAAGTACTACCTAGATAGTAAGTTAATTTTTATGATATACAGGCATTGTTGTCCGTATATTTGGCACAAAGACAAAAATGGTTTATTGGCCTTGATTAGGAAAACGTGAACTTAGAGTAATAAAAGCAATTTTAATGATCTTCCAAATATAATGGTGACGTAATAAAGGATATTACAAAAAGAGGCATCGTGTTGGAGATAGGTTTACCCATTGAATCATTTTGATTGTGTGTCGTGTGTAAGTAAAAAAACTAGCGATATTTTTTTTTCGAAAGTGTGATAAATTACTGGATTTGGAGACCGGAGACCTCTTTCTTCATTCGTTCCTCTTCTAAGGATCGTGACTTCTAGAGAATAGTTTTAAGTTAATAAGTCCTTTCCACACTAATCTGTCTTCAGCTCGATGGATAGATGAGTGTTGTTTGTCTATAGTAGACCCATTGTTTGTCTGATTTGATGGATCAATCTTGTTGTGGATCTACCCCTTCATCTTTTTCCTTGGAAATCACCAGTTAATATAATTTTTTAACATACAGACATTGATCCACACAGCCAGAGATAGGGAAGCTATAGAAAGTGTGATCGCAAACATCCATTAATGGATAAGCAGAGAAAGAAGAAGTCGGCAGATCTTCGAGCAATGTGTTCTAAGAACTCGATGATGCGATTCAGACAAGTCCTTATGTCAAGCTCATTTAGTTCTTCTAGCTGTCCAACGGGACTTAAACGGGGACGGGCTACAGGATGATGCCCTCGATATTTTGAACCGATCGATGCCTCTAAATGGACGAAATCATCAGGATTTTTCTTAATTATAGGTCGATTGAAACTTATAGATTTACCCGAATGGGAAGTCCTCAGACGGACAGGCGGTCATTTTAATACAAGTTTTGTGAAAGTAAATCAAATTATTAATTAATTTTTAATTTATTACTTTTTCAACATTTCAAACTACACATTTTCAAACATGCCCTTTAAATCCTTCAATCCGGTGTTTAACCATAAATTTTTGTTATTTTTAATATAAAATTCAATTGAAGTGATTAAAAAGTATTCCCTCAATTAAGGAATGAATAATAAATCAAATTCAATACAAATTTCACTGGTTTGAAATGACGCGTAGAAAATTGTGACGTCATCTCTCAGCATTTGACTAAATAGTTGACAAAGGGTGCGAGCCTTTGAAGAATACCAAATACGTTTAAAATAAAATATACGGTGGGTACCGCTTAACTTCCTGTCCCGATATTGAAGGATGGCTATAGAATTTCAATGCATTTCCTACATAAGTCTATCCTTGTTGTAGGAGGTGCGACTACTAACAAGGATGAACTTATGGCTTGAAACCATTCGACTCGATTTTCTGTCCTTCAATACTGGGACGTAAATCCTCTCATTGCTCTTATGGGGAGGCCGTCGTATATTTTATTTAAACGTATTTGAAGAATACTATTATGGCGTGTCTAGTTCTCTGCTACCGTATTTACACCATATATCTTAAAATCACGTTAGATCTTTCTATTTTTATTAAGATCGTTAAAAAATACGTTTTTATGTGGGATTATTCTTTGTTACACCAATATTAAATTTACTTTTATATTTTTACTACTAGAAATTAAAACTTAATTTTTTATAATTAACAGGTTACTGCCATTTTTATCGAAGCTCTAAACACTACCAAAGTTGTTCGGATGTTGGAAGCGTTCGAGGGTTTGAGATTAGATTTGTATTTTGTGGATTTTGCGTTTGGCATTAAATACTTTGAGTTTTCAATTTTGTTTTATTGCGCCCTCTTTATTATTTTTGTAATGAAGAGTGTTAAAGTTTGTTTTGCGAAGGGCCGTCTAAATAACTCTGAAAGCTCTCCAAAAAAATTTTTTATTAATATAATGACACATGCCAAACCGCTTCGACACCGGCCACCAGCGTCTCTGGTGGCAAACCGTGACACTTTTGATAGGTGACGTCAGAGATTGCAAAAGTATAAATTTGAAATTGTTAATATTGATTATTTTTTTTAAAAAAGTGGGATGAAATTGAAGTATGTAAAATAAAAAAATACCGGTGTCATAAAAGTGTATGAAGATTAATTATTTGCAATAAAAAAACAATGGTTAAACTCCGGATTTAGCAGCTGCTGTTAGTAAGAAGTTTCACTC